CTAGACAGGATTTCTCTGTGTAGCCCTGGATATCTGGGAACTTTATATCAGGCTGGCCTTGAATTAGAGATCCGTCCTCCTAAATACGGGAATTAAAGGCATGTGGTTTTTTTAGAGTCTTAATCCGTTGGTTTTGTTTAACTTAGGACTTGGACTCTGAAGGAAGTTCCCAAGAACATAGGAAATGAATATTTACTGAACAAGGCTGGAGGGCTAGCTCAGCAGTTAAGAGCACTGGCTGCTCTTCCGGAGGACCCAGGTTCCATGTCTAGTAACCACACCTGAGTAACCAGTCTCAAAAAAACGGGAGTAAACCCAGTTCCAGAGGATTTGGTGCCCTCTTCTGGCTTTCATTGGCACTGCATGTTGCCATGCAGACATACGATCAGGCAAAATACCCATATATACAAAAAATAAAATTTAAAAATTATTGAACAGATATATTTATATTCTAATGCCAATATTTTTCATCTATGGTCTAATTTGATAAGACTCATTAGCTTAACTCATTTGTGATGGCTAAAGAAATTCCACTTTATGCCAGGCTCCATCTTGGTACCCATTAGCGGTTTGTCTCTGACTCCAGTCCCTGGAAGACAAGCTCTCAGTAACCCTGATTCAGTGACTCCCCCAAATGTACAACAGTGACTATCTAACTTGTTATGATTAATTGCTTACTTTGGTTTCTATAACTTGCTTATGCAGAACCCCCAAAATTGTTTTAAGTTGCTTTAACCACTTAACTTGGTAGAAGAGACAAGTTGTTACTTGCTTGCCTAGATACTGAAGGTCTTTTTGTGGTTTTCCCCTTTTAAAAGCTCTTTCCTGGACTGGAGAGAGAGGCTCAGAGGTTAAGAGCAATGACTTCTTCCAGAGGTCCTGAGTTCAATTCCCAGCACCCACAAGGTGACTCACAACCATCTGTAATGAGGTCTGGTGCCCTCTTCTGGCCTGCAGGCATACATGCAGGCAGAACACTGTATACATAATTAATAAATAAATTAAAAAAAACCTTTCCCATACTCCTTGAAACCTGAGACTGGGCTTCAAGGCTATTTTTCTGCTAGCAGCTAATGAATAAATCTTTAAAGTATAATTCATTGAGTCTACGGTCTTTTCTCAGTGGTCACAGTGGATGTATCCATATCCCTCTTGGTAACTGCAAGAATAGACTTTGGGAACCAGCAAGAAAACTCAATAGATAAGGGTGCGCAGGGCAGTGGTGGCGCACGCCTTTAATCCCACCACTTGGGAGGTAGAGGCAGGCAGTTCTCTGTGAGTTCGAGGCCAGCCTGGTCTACAAGAGCTAGTTCAAGGACAGGCTCCAAAGCTACAGAGAAACCCTGTCTCGAAAAACAAAACAAAACAAAACAAAACAAAAAAAAGATAAGGGTGCATGCTAACAGGCCTGATGACCACAAATACACACACAATAAATCAATAAATATAATAGAAAAATTGAAAGGGGAGGGCAGAGAGATGACTCAGACTTCTTGTCCTTGCAGAGGATCTGCGTTCAGCTCCCAGTACCCACACGGCCACGTGGCGGCCCACCACTATCCATGACTCCAGTTTCAGATCTGACTCTCTCTTCTGACTTCTAAGGTTGCTAGGCACACATGTGGTGCACAAAAATACTTGCAGGTATGCCTTTAATCCCAGCACCCAGGAGGCAGAGGCAGGTGGATCTCTGTGAGTTGGAGGCCTGGAATTTACAGAGCAAGTTCCAGGACAGGCTCCAAAGCTACACAAGAGAAACATTGTCTCAAAAAACAAAACAAACGAGAAAGAATATTAGCTGGGCAGTGGTGGTGCAGGCTTTTAATCCCAGCACTTGAGAGGCAGACAGGCGGATCTCTGTGAGTTTGAAGTCATCCTGGTCTACAGAGTGAGTTCCAGGACAGCCAGGCTACACCAGCAGCTCTTCCCGAAGTCCTGAGTTCAATGCCTAGCAACCACTTTATAGCTCATCATCTAGCGCCCTCTTCTGGCTTTCAGGCTCACATGCTGACAGGATATGGTATACATAATTAAATTAACAAATAAACTTTTTTTTTTTTTTTGAGACAGGGTTTCTCTGTGGCTTTGGAGCCTGTCCTGGAACTAGCTCTATTGACCAGGCTGGTCTCGAACTCACAGAGATCCGCCTGCCTCTGCCCTCGAGTGCTGGGATTAAAGGCGTGCGCCACCATCACCCGGCACAAATAAACTTTTTTTGTTTGTTTTTTGAGACAGATTTCTCTGTGCAACAACCCAAGTTGTCCTGGAACTAGTTCTGTAGACCAGATTGGCCTTGAACTCACAGGGATCTGCCTCTGCCTCCTAAATGCTGGGATTAAAGGCGTGAGCCACCACTGCCTGACTAATATTTTAATACTTGTTTAAGTATTAAAAACAAAGAAACTGAAGAAAAAAAATACACAGTGATAGGTGATGAGACTATCTTCCTCATACATACTAACCAGTTCTGGGGTACGCAAAAGGGGAAATCCAAGCATTAGGGGGTGCATGCAAAGACAGTTCAGGACCCCAATAGTCAATTTTCCATTAAATGGCCACCACAGGTCCACCACACAGCTGAACACCAACATCTGCCTTGACCACTTTTGAGCATGAACACTTCAGAAGATTTTAGGTCGATTCCAGGCTTTCAGGTCGCAGCAAGCTCTTCTAACAATGTTCATTACACCAGTTACAAACCAAACCTAGGGGGAAGGTTAATGTTCTTGTGTCTTCGTTATCATCAACTGAAAGTCAGTTCTCAACAGGTTAAGCAGAGGGCTACTGGCTCTAATATCTGAAGAGGGGCTGGAGATCACTCAATGCACACTGCTTACAAAGGACCCTAGTTCAACTCCCAGCACCTCTGTAAGTTATCACAAACCCGTCTGCTTAAGATCAAAGGCCTCTCAGTCACCCCATCCACACCCATCTACACATCTGGAGACCCTCAGAACTCAACCATGGGCCACTTCTGATAGTACATGACTTTCCTGTTTTGTTTTTTCTTTTGATTTCTCAAGACAAGGATTTCTCTGTGTAACAGCCCTGGATGTCCTGAACTAGCACGTGTACACCAGGCTGGCCTCAAACTCAAGAGACCCGCTTGCCTCTGCCTCCTGAGTGCTGGGATTAAAGGTATAGGTCACCACTGGCCAGCCCAGCGACTTTCCCTTTTCAAGTAGGTGATGGGTACCTGTATCCTAGGTAACTTTCCCAGAAATGGCAATTGATAGGCTGAAAAATGGGATAGGCTAACTCCAGAGCCTGATGCTGGTCAGAATCTAGCTGACCTTGAACTCCCAAATGCCCACACAAGCCAGGACAATTTCAGATTATCAAGGGGGAAAAAAAGCACTAAATTATTTTGAACTAGAGTTATAGTTGTGAGCTGCCACGTATGTAAATGTGCCAGGAACCAAAACCAGGTCCTCTGAAAGCGTAGTCTCTATAGTCTCCCACATTTTTAAAGTTTATGTCTGTTTTAACTATGCCCCTCCCCTAAGGTCCTAGAAGTTTTTCTACTTCCCATGTACATTAGATCTATGTAAATCACTATTAATTCTTAATGTTAAATCTTTTTTTTTTTTTTTTTCGAGACAGGGTTTCTCTGTGGCTTTGGAGCCTGTCCTGGAACTAGCTCTGTAGACCAGGCTGGTCTTGAACTCTCAGAGATCCGCCTGCCTCTCGAGTGCTGGGATTAAAGGCGTGCTCCACCACTGCCCGGCCAATCTTTTTTTTTAAGATTTATTTATTTATACAGTGTCCTGCCTATAGGCCAGAAGAGGACACCAGATCTCATTACAGACGGTTATGAGCCACCATGTGGTTGCTGGGAATTGAACTCAGGACCTCTGGAAGAGCAGTCAGTGCTCTTAATTGCTGAGCCACCTCCCCAGCCCCATTAATGCTAAATCTTTAACCAGAAAATAACCAAACTTGTTTGCACTGAATTAAGTAATTAATTGGGACAGACTGAGGATTATAGATGCTTTTTTTTTCTCTTTAGTTTTGGAGCCTGTCCAGAACTAGCTCTCGTAGACCAGGCTTTGGCCTCTGGGACTGCTAGCATTAAAGGTGTGTGCCACCACCACCTGGCAGGTACTTGTTTCTAAACAAACCGGAGGATTCCAGACTCTTTATAAAGAGCTAACCCCTGCAAACTGTCCTCTTAAGAGCTGTCTCTTGTGAGGAAGAACAAGTTTCTTTTTTTAAAATTTTTTTTTAACATTGCATTGGTGTGAAGGTGTCATTCCCAGAACTGGAGTCAGTTTTGGGCTGCCTTGTGGGTGCTCTGGAAGAACAGGCAGTGCTCTCAACCGCTGAACCATTTCTCCAGCCCCCACGAGCAAGTTTCGTGTTTTAACTATTTCTTGTAGACCAGGTTGGCCTCAAACTCAAGGAGATCCATCTGCCTCTGCCTCCCAAGTACTGGGATTAAAGGCGTGCACCACCTATTGTACAAGTTTGAGAGGCAATTGATCACACCTGTAACCAATTTCAGCACACACCAAGAAAGCCTGGGCCAGACCTTACTTCAAACCCACAAATAAAGAGAACAGCGATAAACAGGGGCAAACTTCAGCCCAGAAAAACCTCTTGGTTTGGATTTTCTATCAAGCTTTGGCTTTAGTTTTTGATAAAAGCCTTTGCAAACAGGATCACCTCCATGACCATTACAAGCTATAGTCACTCCTGTTGACTGAATCCCCTGGGTCACACATCCACAAATCTTTTTAGCCCAAGGCACCAACTGGCTTAGCTTTCAGAAAAACCTAACTGGCCACTTAGCTGGGTGTGGCTGACATACACCTTTAATCTTACCAGCTAGAGAACTAAGCATAAACAGGATCCCTGGAGTTCACAGGTGGACCAGCCTGCAAAAAACAAGGTGTACAGAGCCCAAACACCAGTATGTTCTGCCTTCCGGCCTCCAAAAGCACAGAGAAAAAGGAAGAGCACACAATTCACACCTGGCAAAAACACACTCAAATACTACATAAAGTTTAAGTTCCATTTTATTTTTCCAAGGTGTTTTCTTCTATCTTTATGAAGCCACTTTACATGGGCTTTGGTGGAGGTCGTGGTGCAGCACCCTGAAAAAAAAAAAAAAAGAGATGAAGTAAATTAAAACTAAGTATCTGACATTGGTGCAGTAGTCCACTTAATCCAGTACCCCAGTGACAGAAAAACCCTGGGTCACCTAAGGCCACAGTGAAACTGTGGCGAAAAAATAAAACACCCACCACTACCAAGAGACATGGTCTCTAGAAAACCCCAAACCTACTCATGATGAATCGTGGAGTTCAGTGACAGAGCACTTACCAGTGACAAGCTGAGGGCCACCCAGATATGGCTTCTAACATCACAAAACCAAAGAACCCACCCAGAACCTCCACCACTAACAATGGTTTGGGGCCATAAACCATATGGAGCAGTATGGTTCAGGCAAGACACCACACCATTCCACTGCAATCAGCCTACCCATTCTTGAAAAAAATCAAACATTTTAAATGAAGGTTACACCTGTCATACCAGGCTAAAACATTAAGTGGATAATTTTATGGTCAAGACCCCACGTCTCAAAGAAAAACAAGCAAAATTGACTTACAGCAGGTCTAAATCGCGGTGGGGGCGTTCGGTCCTTCCGAGCTTCCCGGGATCGATTCCTCACTACCTTGCTATGAATGGCACAGCTCACACAGTAATGCAGCTTGACATAGAGTTTGGGGAGCACATAGGCTGAAGAACAGAGCAGCAGTTCAGATATATGCCCACTTCCCATTATCCCCCTCACTTAGGCACACCCACAAAACCTGCACAAAAGGCAACAGCAAGCAGTCTCAACCTGAATAAAAAACCCCTGCGAAGCAAGCCCACCACGGAAACCAAGCTTACATATGCTAAAAGTCCAACTTTTGGGTGAAATGTTGCCATTCAAAAGGTAAGGACTTTCCTTGAAGCCAGACCACACGGTAGCAGTTAAGTTAGAACAGCTCATCTCTCTTAAGAAACCCAGTTAGCTGTTGTGGCCCATGTTTTTAAACCCAGCACTAGGGAGGCATAAACTGGGATTTATGTTCTAAGTTCCAGAACTTACTGCCTGCACGCTGCCGTTATTTACAACTCAGTCTAAGCATGTTTCATTAAAAGTAGTTGAATGAACTATGTCTACCAAATGTCCATCTCTTACAGTTTCTTACAGATTGCCCTTTCCTAAACTGGCAGTCAAAGGGATGGGATGACTCGGGAGGCAGAGGCAGGCGGAGCTCTGTGAGTTCGAGGCCAGCCTGGTCTACAAGAGCTAGTTCCAGGACAGGAACCAAAAAGCTACAGAGAAACCCTGTCTCGAAAATCAAAAAAAAAAGGGGGGGGGGGAGGGGATGCAGGCTGGGTTTGCCTAGCATGCAATCCACCCAAAAAAAAAAAAAACCACCAAATTCAAACCTCAGCGTTAAGCCTACTATGCCATAAAAGACAGCTTCTGCCCAAAACTAAATATGAACCAAAGGTAGCAATGGGCCCGCGTTCGTTCCTCATCCCTATACACTCACCGTCGAAAACACTTGCTTCGGATATGTCCCTGACGGCAGCCGCCTCTACGATGTTCCGAATGACGAACTTCTTAATGGCCTTGTCCTTGGGCACACAGCGGGCGCAGTTAGTGCAGCGAATTGGCTGCACATGGCCGCGGCCCTTTTTGGCACGACCGTTGTTTCTCCTTTTTTTGGTCTGAATATGAAAAATTACCTTATTAAAAATGGGGTGCGACTAACAGCTTCAGCAATTTCCGGCCATTCACCGCCCGCAGCCCCGGCAAAGCGAGCCACACAAATCCCAGGCATCTTAACCCCGGGCTCAGAAGCACACGCTCCCCTTCCTCCTCCAAGGCTCCGACTCTCGAGTCCCCGCCACCCGAGAGCCTACTTTCCACTCATCGCTTAGGCTCGCGCTCTCTCCACGCGGCGACACTCACCATCTTGGAGCCAAGTCCCGAAAGAGGATCCGGCGCCTCGCCGGCCACTCTTATATAGTACGAGATTCCTACGCTTGCGCCGGGGAGAAAAAAAAAATTTAGAGATGTGTAATTCTACTTAATGTTAGCAACTGCTATACTCAATTTTACATAATTATTTAGCGTTTCCAATAAAACGTAGGTTTAAAATAAGTCCGTACGAATTACCTGTGGAGCGAAGTACCAATGGGACTATTTTACCTACTGGCGGAAGACTAAAAATTATAAAAAATGTACGAACCAGGAAGTAATTCTCACCACCACTATAACATCCGGTTCACGTTGTCTCCAGAGCGGAAGATATCTAGAATTCGGTCTCAGGACGCACACTCCCTATTACGAGAGGCCGAGAGAGATGCATTGTGGGAGTTGTAGTATGAGTCGAAGAGGCTCTGGGGAGGACACAGACTAAAGGCGGCGCTACACCACCGTAAGACGCCATGACTTCATTTCTTTTAAGTGTGTGTTCTAGTCATAAAAATAAGAAATAGAAGACCCGTGAGGAAATAAACCATTTTGTAAAATCATCCTTCCAAATAAAAGCTTCAGCCGGACATGGTAGCACAGGCCTTTAATCCCAACACTCGAGAGGGAGAAGCAAATACATTTCTGTGAGTTCGAGGCCAGCCTGGTCTACATTAGAATTCCAGGTTAGTCAGAGCTACACAGTGAGACCCTGTCTCGAAAAAACAAAACAAACAAGCCAAATAAAAGTTTCAAATGAGACAAATGTTTTGTTGGTGGGACTATTTCTTTCTTTCTTTCTTTCTTTTTTTTTTTTAAAAAAAGCTTGATGGTGCTGGGTGGTGACTCATTCCTCTAATCTCAGCACTGAGTAGGTTGAGAGGCAGGACAGCTTTTCTTTTCTTTTTTTTTTTTT